AAAGCCCTAAACGGTTCCGGCCCAAGCTACCTATCTGACCGCATCTCTGCCTATGAACCCACCAGGACTTTGAGATCTTCCGGGGAGACCCTGCTCTCGATCCCGCCTGCTTCTCAAGCTCGGCTGGCGGGGACGAGAGATAGGGCCTTCTCGGTGGTGGCTCCTCGGCTGTGGAACGCCCTTCCTACGGACATTAGACTAGCACCATCTCTAATGGTATTCCGCAAAAAGGTGAAGACCTGGAGGTTTGTGCAGGCGTTTGAGTAATTTAGTGCAATCTGGTAATGGAACATAGGAATGGAACAATGGACGACGAACCTGGACTACGCTTGGATGATGAGAAGATTGGGTACGGTTGTTTTTTGTAATAATTGTGCATTGTAATTGCTTATTGGTAATTTATGGATAATGTGTTAAGTCAATTGTTATATGTTGTATGGAACCACTGCTGTTTCTACTGTTTCTACTGTTTGTGAACCGCTGTGAGTCGCCTTCGGGCTTGAGATACAGCGGTATATAAGCAAAGTAAATAAATAAAATAATAAATAAATAAGATGATAATAATAATAACACAACAATAGAAGGGATAACAATAATAATAATAATAGAAAAGGGATAATATTAATAATATACTGTCATAATAAATTATTATTATTATTATTATCATTATTATTATTATAGGAATTCAAACTTGGACATAATAATAATAATAATAATAATAATAATAATAATAATAATTGCAGTGGAGGCTTTTGCCCAGGAGGTGGGGATCCAGCCTTGCTTCCAAAAGACAAAAGGTCAACTCCAGAATGGGATCCCTTCGCTGGAAGGAAACCCAAAGCTGCCGGAAGGGATCCAGTGTCTGCCTGGGAATCGATCCCACCATCTAGAGGCCCAGGATCCAGATTTGGCCCAGAGAGGCCCTTGAACATACAGAGGCATACAGAGGCACTTTTGCACCCCTGGCAAAACAGAAGGGTACCGCAACCGCTTACTCTGCGTAATGGACGCGCCACCCCTGGGCGGGGTATATATACATTAAAAAATTATTAAAAAATTATTTCCTTATTATTATTTATTTTGCAGAGGCCAAATAATCCTGGTCACCCGTATTGCGGTCATAAATGTAATAATAACAATAATAATAAAGTAAAATAATACATGTAATAATAAAAAATAATAGAGTAAAATAATAATAAATAGAGTAAAATAAAAATGGAATAATAATAAGAGTAATATAATAAAGGTAATAATAACAATAATACATAGAGTAAAATGATACATGTAATAATAAAAATAATAACAATAGAGTAAAATAATAAAAGTCTTAATAATAATAATAATAATAATAATAATAGAGTAAAATAATAATAAATGTAAGAATATAATAAATAGAGTAAAATAATAAAAGTAATAATAATATGAGTAATCTAATAAAGGGAATAATAATAATACAGTAAAATAGTAAATGTAATAATAATAAGAGTAATATAATAAAGGTAATAATAACAATAAGACATAGAGTAATATAATAAAGGTAATAATAAAAATAATAACAATAGAGTAAAATAATAAAAGTCTTAATAATAATAATAATAAAAAATAATAATAAATGTAAGAATATAATAAATAGAGTAAAATAATAAAAGTAATAATAATAAGAGTAATATAATAAAGGGAATAATAATAATACAGTAAAATAGTAAATGTAATAATAATATGAGTAATATAATAAAGGTAATAATAACAATAAGACATAGAGTAATATAATAAAGGTAATAATAAAAATAATAACAATAGAGTAAAATAATAAGTCTTAATAATAATAATAGAGTAAAATAAAATGGAACAATAACAATAATACATAGAGTAAAATAATAAAAGTATTAATAATAATAGAGTAAAATAATAATAGAGTAGAATAATAAATGTAATAATAACAACAATAATAAAGTAAAATAATACATGTAATAATAAAAATAATAATAGAGTAAAATAATAAAAGTAGTGTTAATAATAGAGTAAAATAAAAATGGAATAATAATAAATAGAGTAATATAATAAATGTAATAATAAAGTAAAATAATACATTTAATAAAATAATAATAAATAGAGCAAAATAATAAATGTAATAATAACAATAATACATAGACTAAAATAATTATTTTCCTTATTATTATTTATTTTGCAGAGGCCATCCTGGTCACCCGGATTGCGGTCATCGTATCGGTCATTGCTGCCGCAGCGGCTTTGCTGTGCCTCGTCGGCGGGTGCCAATACTTCCAATGTTTATGGGCCGGCATTGCAAAGCAGCGTTGCCTTATCTCCTTTGTGGCCCTCTCCCTCTTGGCAGGTAACAACAACAACAATGCTTCCCTTCGGGAAGGCAAGATTCCAGCGAGCTTAAAACAAGCTGTGATAAAACCGCTGTTGAAGAAA